CACCAGTTTTCCACGCGAACAGTGATAGCACCGCACGAGCTCGAGTCGGAGAGAGGAGGCGGAGGAGGCGGCCGACAAGCTAGAGACCGGCGCCAGGTCTGGGGGCGTCGGGTCTCCAACTGGGTTTTTTGGTTCCAGCGAAAGAATTAGGGCAAAATTTGGGGGCAGGGCTGAACTTTGCTTTTATAGCTGCGATAAATTGGGGGAAAGTGGGGTATTTGTCCCAGAATTACCCTAACAAACCAATAACACCATAAAGATTACCCCAGTTCTAATTACGCCAATGAATAACACCAAACATTGTTGTTCCAAAAATTATCCCATTACCCCAACAATTACCCCAATGAATAAACCCCCCACCCCCTTAGAACCAGATGGCGAATTAGATTTACCCTCGTTGTTTCGAGGAATTACCAGAATGTCATCATTCCACGTGGAGAATTTTGCTCCAGGGCCCAGCAGTTAAATGGCAGGACTCGGTCGGATTGGACGGGCAGGGGTGCATCCCGGCTGGGCTCGGATATGATGTTTATCATATCCATATCCGCTAAAATCAGATACGGTTACGGATATAGATGCGGATATGCATGCAGATACAAAACAAATATGAGAAAACTAGATAGTATCAAGAAAAACATAGTTCATGTGATACAAAAGAGGTCGTTAATATGTTCATTAAAACTAAAAAGCAAAGAGTAGACATCTTGATCATCAAAATTAACCACAAATCCATGATCTAAGAATTGAAACTATCGTAAGAGTATGACTAATATATATTCGTATATTTCGGATACGAATACGGATATTTCACTGCAAAACCATATCCGTAACTATATCCTATTAGTTATAAATTTAAGTAACCATATTTGTATCCTGATGGATACAGTTACGGATATTTCCTCAGATACAGATACGGTTTAGCACCCCTAGGTCAATGGGTCGAATATTTAGCAAAATGTCACTTAAATACCTCGTAGCTTCACTTTCTTGGTACTTATATATTTTTAGTTATATTTTATAGCATTTATATATCCTAAATTAATTAAAAGTGGCATGTTAATATTTTATATTTTGTAAAAGTGAATTTTTTTATCAAAAAGTTCTAATATAACATTTATATGATAATCTTATAGAATCTGGGTAGGTTTAATAGTATTTAGCAAATTGTTGATAGGTGATATCAAACAGTCAATTAAAGAAGTGATTAAGTTGACGGAGTTCTTCTAACCCTCCAAATGTCTGATTCTGGAGTAGGTTGTTCTTCTATGCGAAAGTAGCAAATCGTAAGAGGACGGAGTTAGATGCCCTGGTTGCTCCTCCGACGATTAAGTTAGTGATTTGTTTGAGTGGAAAAGTAAAATGAATTGTTGTAATTCTTAAACACCATTGGTAGAGGTAATGATCTTACCTTATTATTCAAAATAGTACCCCTATTTATAGTGGTGGTAGAAGGGTAGAATGGTAACTTCGGCTGAGTATGGAATGATGGACACGTTAGCCTCTGCTTTATAGTTATCGGCCGATAAGTGGAGGAGAGGTCACCTTGGTATTTAATATGAGGTGATTGGGGGCGTGCGGTGCCGACTGGTCCAATGTGTGATAAAGACTATTGGGGACAGATGAATGATGGGGTGATTGGTTGTTAGTGCGCGGGGAGGGGCTCAAGGCTTGAGGAATTTGTCGCCTTTTACTCGTCCAGTGGTCGAGAAGTACCGCCCTTTAAGTCGTCTCCGCAAGATGTCTGTTGAATGGTCTATTGAGTAGGTCGATCAGGGAGTCGACCTAGCTAGGGATCGACACGTAATACTATTTGAGTCACCCTCACGAGATGTCGACATGTCGAGTTGTCTGAGCTGGGTCTTGGGTTATTTTGAAGTGTTAGCTCGATTACGTATAATGTGGGACACATGTCTGCCATAAATTGGGGATTAGTTTTCAGCACTAGAATGACTATAAAAGTTGGCCCCTTTTACTTGGAGTCAGCCTAGGTCAGGTCTAAGTGAAATATAACAGTTCTTGATGAGTCATGAGGGGCATTAATAAGGGATCTGAAAAGTTCTTTGGATGCGATGTGGCTGACGTCAGTGAATTCTTTTCAATTGTCGTCTCTTCGTGTTTCGTGCAGGATTGCGGGCTATCTAAGGCGAGTATGCTTTATCTCGATTCAGGGAAGGCTACTTCGAATCTAGAATTAATCTAGGTCGTTGGCTGGGGTTCAGGTCGTCTATTGAGATTATGATAGTTAGA